GGCAAAAGGTTGAAAAGTTCACGGGGGTTGAATACTTTTGCAAGGCACTGTAAGCTTTGTATGATCAATAATGCAATAAAAAAAGTTAAAGGGATGAATGATTAGTTGTAACATTAGACTTTATTTGATAAACATACTGTATATTTTAACTGTAAAATTAAGACTAAAGATACCTTAGGCTGTTTAGTTTTTATCATTTTTAAACTAAAAGTTTAAAAATATATTACATGGACAGGGCCCTTTTATTTACACATAAAGCATTCTGGGTAAATGATGACATGGATAGGTCCTTGGTGTGAGGCTGCTAGAGAGCTATATCCACCCTGACGGTGTGTTCACACCAAATGCGTTTTGAGCGGCAGGAGCGGCCGATTTACATGCAAAGTCTTTGGTGGAGGTGCCTCTAGGGGTCGTGCGTCATGTCACGTATGTTTTGGGCAGCGCGCAAGGAAGGCGGAAGGGGCGCAGAGCGTTTTCCGCGCATGCGGTGCTGCGGAAGCCGCCGCCGCCCGAGCCACCGCCAGTGTTCAAATACAGTATCTGAACTTTTCGCCGCTTGGCACGTCTCCACTGAAAACCGAAACAGATGGACTGGAGATCTTTACCCAAAATCGACCATGTGCAGTTGGATTTTCTGGCAGGATATATCAGCACCGATGTGGATCAGCTGCTCGGGAACAAAAAAAAAAAAGGTCCGTCAGCTGGCAGCTTCTGGAGTGATGAAACTAACCAAACAAATAGCCTCTAAATCATCTGGTGAGTTAATTATCTGCTGTGCGCAACGTTCACTTGCTCTTTAGTAAATAAATCAAAGGCATTTTCTTTTATTTTATCTTTATTCACCCGCCAAGGACACGCTCCTCCCACACCTCGCTGCTGCCGCTGCTTGTTCTGGTCTGAACACTAGTGCGTTCTTCGGTCTGAGAATAGTGCGTCCAACGAGAGACGTTGGCGCTTTTTGGCCGCTCAAAACGCGTTCGGTGTGAACGTAGTATGAAGGTTAATCTTGGACAATATCTGATGATTGACTCTTTTAAATGAAACCAGAGAGCGTTGAC